AGCATAACTCTAAGGCAATGGTTCTTAAATTTTTTTTTTTTGGTCTCAGGACTCCCTTATATTCTTAAAAACTATTGAAGACCCCAAATATCTTTTGTTTATTTGGGTTTTATCTATTGATATTTACCATATTAGCAGTTAAAACCAATAAAATGTTTAAACTATTTATTAATTCATCTTCTTAATATTATGAAAATAGTTTGACTTTGTTGACTCCTTGAAAGTTTCTCTGGAACCCTCAGAGGTCCTCAGACCATACTACATTTTGAGAACTGGAACTCTAAGGTTATTAATCTGGGTTCTTAGAAAGATGTAATACTCTCGACAGAAACAGTGAAATTAGGAAGAGGGATTGGTTTAGGGGAAATAATAATGAGTGCTGTTTTGGAAATGTTGAGTTTAAGATGCCTGCAGGGCATCCAGTTAGAAATGACCAATAGACAGTTGGTGATACAAGACTGGCGCTCAGAAGAGAGACTAGAACTAGATATCTAGAACTGAGAGTCTTCTTCATAGAGATGATAATTGAGCTCATGAAAGTTGATAAAAAAAATCTTTGAGGGAGATGTATAGAGAGAAGAGAACAGGCAAAGGACAAAATTTGGGGACATCCATATTTAGGAGGTAGGTAAAACAAAGACAAAAATATAGCAAAGATTAAAAAGGAGCAGGCAGAGGCTACAAGAACCAAGAGTATCTTAATCTTGATTTATCAATATTTTCCTTCACTGACATAAAGAATTATACAGACAAAATGCCAAAGCCTAGTGTCCTGTAGCAAAACTTCTTTTTTAAAAGATGATTCAACATTGTACATAGTACAGCAATATTGCAACGATAATCAACCATGACTTAGCTACTCTGATCTGTACAATAATCGATAATTCCAAAGGACTTATAATGAAAAATGCTAACCACCTCCAGAGAGAGAGAACTGATGAACTCTGAATGCAGACTAAAGTTTTTTTGTTTTTTTTTTTCACTTTTTCCTTTCTCTTTGGCAACATGGTTAATATAGAAACGTGTGTTATGACTTCACATATATACCGGGTATAACGTGCTTGCCTTCTCAATGGATGTGGGAAGGGCTGGAAGAAGGGGGAGAATTTATAACTCAAAAAATATTGAAAATAAAATTGGGGGGGAGATCCTTCAATTCAGACTCAAAGAATAACATTCCTACAGTTCTTTTAAGACTTACAAAACGCTTTCCTTATAACCTCAAGAGTCAAAAAGTATTATCCTCATTCTGTAGAGGGCGAAACTAAGGCTTGCAGAGTAGAGAGGTGGCTTAGTGACCAGGGGAAAGTGTTGGAGCTGGAGTCAGACCAGCCCTGAGTTCAAATATGCCTCAGCAAGTCACTTTTTCAGTCTCAGTTTATGCTGATTGCACAGCTAGTTAAGTCCAAGGAAGGAAACAAGCATGTATTAAACTCTTACTATGTCCTAGGCACTGTGCTAAGTGCTTTACAAACACCTCATTTGATAGGTACTATTATTATCCCCATCTTACACTTTAAACTGAGGCAGACAGAAGTTAGGTGACTTGCCCAGGGATACAGACACACTTAATAATGGTCTAAGGGCACAGCTGAATTCAGGTCTTCCTGACTCCGGGCCCAGCGCTCTATGCACTAACCCATCTCGCTGCCTGGGAAGTGGGTTTAATCCATGGTTCCTGATTCTATTACCCTGGGGAACAATCCCGCTTCCTCAGGTCATATGCTACAGTTCTCCTTCAAGACGTAGGGAAGTTCTATTTCTCGGGTACCCTCGAGGCCGAGGCCAAGGTTGCACTGGAAGCCACTCTTGGGGGTGCTGGACTATTGCAAAGAAAGGAAACACTCAGGGAAGGGGTTGCACATCCGCTCCGTCCACTACTCTCAGCTTGGATCGGAAGCAGCGTACAGGACCAATCCCAGAGGCCTCGAGCCTTCCCACCAGGCTGACCACCGAGACGCCCTCCCGGGCGGCGCGCTTCCTAGAGCGTCCCCGGAAGTACGGGCGGGCCGAGAGGCCGCAGGCACTTCCGCTCCGGGGCCCGACTCGGCGATCGGCACGTTAGCGGGATCCGGCCTCGCGCCACTGGGCCCCGCGGGGACGCGACCCTGAAGTGGGGGACGCCGCGCACGGCGCTGACGTCTTTCCCTGACGTCGCGCGCGCTCGGGCCTGCCTGATGAGTTCTCTCCCGAGTCCCTTCTCCTGCCCCCCAGGAAGTTGGTGGCATATCGCCCTTTGTCCGTCACACTCTTTCATCCCTCGGACTGAAGGTTTCTGTTATCTCGGACGCACTAAAGCAGAAGGCCAAAGAGGTGCCAGAAACGATTGGTCGCCATTTCCTCCCCCAACCCCACCCCCAGCCCTCCTTTTCGAGGTACTCAGAGCCGGCGCTCCTCATGGCTCAGATCTCACCCCTTCTCCCCCATCTCCTACCCCTTTTAACTTTAAACTAGGTTTCATCTACCCAGGGAGAAGGCTAGTTTATACTTCAGAAACGGCTCCTGTCCGCCCCCATTCGGAAGAGTCTCTGGGAGCCTTGATATAAATCAATCTGGACCTCAGAGTTGGAATTTTACTAGTCTTTCCTCCTCCAGTTGCCTTCCTGGATTGTCTCGAAGTCAGCTCCCTGAGGGCAGGGCTCGTGTCTCTAACCTTTGTATCTGTCCCAATAAAAAGGCACGCCGCTTTGTTCAGAACGACCAGTGGTTTTTGTTTTGTTTTGTTTTGATGTCTCTGGAGGTTGTTTTGAAAAAAAATTTTTTTTTGCAAGGAGAATTCAATTTTTATATAGCAAATGCTTACTTGCATTCAAAAAAGCAAGTGGCTTTATTAACCATGTTTCAGTACAACAGATATTTCTAAGTTTTAAAAGTTTTATACAGTTTTATTATGCTAAGGCACATATGCTATGTGCCTTAAAGAATTTATAGTCTTTTTTTGGAAGATGAGATTTAAGTCATAAAATTAGAAAAGATAGAGCCTTACATGATTATTTGGTTAAGAGGCAGGGTACAATTGGTTATCAAGACAACAGAAGCAATACCAAGCAGAAAGACAAAACACTTTTTGAGGGAAGAAAAAGAGAGACATTTCAATTTGAAGTTATCATTAGAGGATTAACAGAAGTAAAGGATCATTACTGTCTATGAAAGCCAAAGATTTTGCTTATTTTTCAAGTCAGTAGTTCTGTCAAACTAATATTTTAAAATATACTATTGTGTTTGAAGCACTACTCTGAACCATGTTGGGATTAAATGAGATGGTGGTTCCTGTTTTCTTAGAGATGTAGCATTGTGTCTCCAAGACTACTGCATTTGAACTTGAAAGAGCTGTGCTCCACCACTTACTAGCTGGGGATCTTAGGGCTTTACTTCTTGGGAACTTGGTTTCCAAATCTGTAAATGGGGTTAGTAACACATTGCCACCTTCATAGAACTCTTATTAGATTCAAACAAGGTCATACAGATAATGTGAACTGTATAAGGCAGCTTGGGGTGGTGACTAGACATCTGGCCTCAAAGCCAAGGAAGATATAGGTTCAAGTCCTGCTTCTGATATGTACTGTCTTTGTGACCTTTGGCAAGTCACCTGATCTTTTAGTGCTCTGGGAAGCTCTCTGTGCAGAGAAGATTCTGACCTGTACTGTAGAGATTTTTCTTCACCTGGGATTTCTTATATGAATGAAATCACAAATTTATCCCTAAACTGCTACAAAAACGTTAATCTATTATTATAGCTCTATTGTAGGAAAGAGATGCAGAATTGTCATACAAAATAGAACATAAATGTGTTAGATACAGTGTTGTATGTGGTCCAGGAAAACGAAAAATCATGTTTGACTTAGATTATTAAGAGCTTCATTCAGAAGTTGGCATTTGAGCTGGATTTTGATGGGTGGGTAGGATTTCAATAGATAGAAAGTGGGGGAGGAGACCAAAATCTCTTTGTAAGTACCTCTCCCCGTGCTGCTCCTTGATAGTAATAAGAACTGATGTTTATATAAGAGTTAGAAGTTTTTTGAGGTATTTAGTATATATCCTGAGTATCACAACAGCCTTGTGAGGTAGATATTACAGGTATTATCCCCATTTTATAGATGAGGGACTAAGGTTTGGAGAAGTTGACTTGCCCATGTTTACACAGCTAGACAGTATCAGAGATGGAATTCCATCCAGTCTTATTAATTCTAGGTCCAGCACTCCTACACTACCACACTGGCCCATCCCATTGGAGAGGGAGTGAGACTCAAACTTTTCTTGTCCTTTGTTGCTGAGAGATAATTCAGCATTTGAGATTTTAGCTGAATGATCATTTCTTTTCACCTGGTTCTTGACTTACTTCAGTTTTCTTCATCCTCAGGTTCCCACCCGTTCATGAGAACAGGAAACCTTAAGGACTCGAGGGTTGGAGACTGGTCAGAGGTCCATGCCTGCTCTCATTGCCATCAGCTTCTCTTCGCCCAGGAGATCTCTTGGGCTTCATCCTCAGGAGTCTGCTCCTCCAACATCACCAACATGGTACTCGGCCCCTCTGGTCTTAGAGATCACCTAGTCCAGTACCTTTGTCTCCAAGATGAGAAAGCTGGGACTGTGGAGAGGTGAAAGGAATTACCCACAGACATGAAGGAATTTAGGGCAAAGCCAGGACCAGACACTAGAAATTCCCTGTCAGGATGTTCAGCTTCATCTTGCTATTGCTGTTTTTAATTCATCTAGATTGAGTATGTTTCAGTTCCTTTTCAATATATTTGTTTCATAGATTACAAAATTGCCTACTTGGAGGTTTTATTCCTGTCTGAAATATAGATTATCCTGATGTAGGAATGGCTGATGTAGGAAGGGTAACTGTATTAGACTAGTATACATAGAATGGAGTCTGGACTGAAAGTGACATATTTGAGAGCATTGAGGGATTAACTCTCAAGATACCTGAAAAGAGGAGGATATCAAATGCATAGAAAACGATCAGACATCACAGCTGATAGAAGGCAATTGATAAAATGTGCCTGGTTTACTTCACCACAGATTTCAGCCTTAAGTATCCTGGTTGGTATCTTAGTTTGTCCACTAGTAGCAGATCACTGATATCACTGAAACATATGTGGACCCCAAGCAGCTGTTTTACCCAAGATGAGATAACTTCCTGTTTCCACATCTCTCAGCAAACTGCTTATCCACTATCCTTGCACCTTATCACTCAAGATCATCAGAGACCAAATTGCTTATACTGACATTGGTAGAAATAAAAAAATTTTCATCATTAATTAATGTTAATTAACACATTAATATGTGTTCGCACCATGTATGTCCATCCATTTTTCATTTTCAGTTTTTCCTAGCAGTTATCTAATATATTTTTAAGCTTAGTAATACATACATACATACATATCATATGTATCCATATATACATATACACATATGTACATACTTATAATCACATACACACATACACACACCTCTTGTGCACAGAAATAAATAAGTATTCCTCATATGGTTTGAACTTCAATTTTGAGCTTATCCCTGAGCCACTGATAATGTGTTGTTTCAGAAGCCTGTGACCTTTGAAGATGTGGCTGTATTTTCACTCAAGAGGAATGGGGACATCTGGACCCTACTCAGAGGGATCGCTATGGTGATGTGATGCTGGAGAATTATGGGAACCTGGTTTCACTGGGTAAGATCTAATTCCAACAGTTATCTTCTAGAGCAACCTTTTTTCTGAGAAAAATTCAAGGACCCTCTTCTGAAGCCAAAGAGATATTTCTCTCTGACCCCTTCCTATTATGTCATCTGTGTTATTGGATTTTTTCTCTGCATCCTACACCTGTAGGGGCTGGATTTGAGTTCTGAGACTGTTACGATTTCTGATCACAAATGATCATGTTCCATTTCCTTCTCCACGTTCAGGATTACCAGTCTCTAAACCTGATGTCATCTCCCAGCTCGAGCTGGGAGGAGGGTCATGGGTGCTGAATGATACTGGACTTAAGGAAAAAGATCTTTAGAGGTGTGTCCAGAGGTGAGTAAATAAGAGCCTGTCCCATTGGAGATAGAAAGAAAAAGAACATAGTAACTCTATGACGTACAGTTTGAAATATCAGAGGAAAATTTTCTCTAGGCACCTCACTGTGCCTAATTAATGCCAAATTAAAGTGTCCTCCCTTCTGTTTATTGCCTTTTTCTTAACCATAATAATTTTTCTAACTCTGCTCACAAGTTTGTCCATCTTATCTACCTTCTTAGTCTCTCTTTTCTGTAGGAGTGTTAAGAGGGGGAGGAGGAAATGGTTTATAGAGTCTTCAGCCACCTCTTTTCATCTACAAATGAAAGGCAGTCTAGGGTCCAGAACACTTCAGCCTTATTCTGTATAAAGAGTAGTACTGATTTGTTCTGAGATACTCTGTTGCTAGTAAAAAGGTTCTCCTAGAGAGAAGGGATGAACCTTTTGCAAATTATTTTGCCAAAGTGGGTCCCATCTCTAATACCACTTTGCCCCTAAACCATTGAGTTTTGGCCATCTTTGATAACCTGTCATCTCCATTTCTGTATTGTGTTCACCGAGTTTACCCATTTATTAAATACCTGTTGTGTTTCATCCTAGGAGCTAAAAAACTATCCCTGCCTTTTTGGAATTTATAGTATAGTGAAAGATAGGATACATACACTCACATAACTATAATTATAGTACATGGTATTGTATTAGAAAGGCATTATAGGGGAGCAAGTTTATGCCTGTTCAATCCTCCATTGTCAAACAAAACATTCTTTGTTCTCATTCTTTTCTGGTATTGAACATCCTTCTGACCTTGTCCACATTTGCTCCTTTTTCTGTTCTTTCCTGGCTTTAAAAAAAAATCCATACCTTTGTCACTGACAGTGATGTGTGAATAGGTCCCCTATTCATGGTTGTTTTTATCTATTAATTTATTTAACTGTATATTATAGGCTTTCCACTTTGTTTCTCCTTAAGTAGATTAGTTGTACGGGAACTATTATAGAGAAGTCATATATCTATTAAAAGTTTAGAATTTATTAGAGATAAGAGGGATGCTATATGAATGAATGAAAGAAGAAGGAGGGGAAAGGAAGGAAGGAAAGAGGGAAAAGAGGAAAGAAAAATTTGTAAGTGCTTAATATAGGCAAAACACTGTGCTATGTGTTTACAGATAGAAAAGCAAGATAGTTTCTGACCTCAAGGAGTTCACATTCTAACAGGAGGAGTTAACACATATAGGAGGATTCAGCTATAGGGCATTGGTCACATACATTTTCTCTGTCCTTCTAAAATCATTCAAGCTTCCTGTTTCTCACAGTTACAGAGTTGTAATCGCTGAATGTCTTTATCTGTTAAATAGATATTTGATCATGTCAGAAAGAGTGTCATACTGAGGTTTGAGTACAGCTATATCAGGCTACCAGTTCAAGATTCAACAAGCTTTAACTACTGCCTGTTATGTGAAAGATACTGTTAAATGCTATGTATACAAAGACAAAAATGAAAGTCCTTGTCCTTAGGAAACTTACAGTTTACAAAGGGGATAATGGCTCTTACAAATGTATCAGGTTCTTTATGTTGGTTTAACATAAGGAAAGCTTCATAACAATCAGAAATGTCCAAAAGTGGAATGAACTGACTTAGAAGATAGTAGGTTCCTTATTACTCAAGGTTTTCAATCAATATATGAACTTCATCATAGTTGTAAAGATGATTCCTCTTCAGGTATGGGTTAGACTAGATTACTTTTCTGAGATTCTTTCTAGTTCTGTGATTCTATGAATCTGAACTTTGGATGGTTCTCAAGATACCTATTTTTATCTTCCCCACTTTGTTTTATAGGATCATAGATTTAGAGCTGAAAGAGACCTTAAAGGGCATTGAACCTACCGCCCTCATTTTACAATGAGGAAACTGAGGCACAGTGAGATTAAGTGTCTTGCCTGTGGTAACATTGCTGGTATCTGAGGTGGGGATTTGAATTCAGGTCTTTGTAACTCCAAATACTCGATTCCAACTAAATTTAATAATTTAGCAAATAAATTCACCTCTGTCGGAGAGAGAGGGCTAAGGGTCTCAGTTAAGGCCTGGGGTTTTTTTTTTTGGTTAACATAGGTGGTGCCCAAGAAGTTCTTGCTTTTTGTAAATAGGTTGTTTCAAGATCAAAGAGCAGGATTGGGCAGTGGGAAATTTATTTCTGCAGGTGCAAGCCCCAATACTTTAGCTTTCAGCCCACTTTTATAAAGACCTACAGTGTCTTCATTCCAGACTTAATTCAGTATTTCTCTACCCCAGAAAATAGCAGGAATGTCTTTTGCCTTTTTTTTTTGTATCCCCAGGGCTTAGCATAGTGCCTGACACATAGTCAGCACTTAATAAATGTTTATTGACTGGCTGACTGATTCCTGACAGGGATAGATATGCTATTCTTTATTTGAGAAGTAGACAGTAATATCTCTTCTTCAGTGTCATTTCCATTAGTTAAACCATTTTTAATGGAAAAAGCAATGTGCTTACAGTCAGGAAGGCCTGGATTCAAATGCTGCCTTAGACACTTATTAGCTTTGTGACTATAGTTAAATCACTTCACTTCTCTGAACCTTAGTTCCCTCATTTGTAAAATGGAAATAATACTAGTATTACCTACCTCACAGGATTGATGTGAATATCAATAAGATAGCATATTTAAAGCACTTTGTAAACCTTTAAGCACCACCAAGGTAGAAGATATTGTAAGTAGAATCTCAGTATTTTTCTCTTGCCTATTCTTTTGACTTTGCATACACTTGTTTCTTTTGCTATTCCTGCTTGTTTTTGCAAAATATCTCTATTTCCCATTCCCATTCCCATTCCCTTATCTCTATTACTCCCCCTCCCCATTTGCAACTTTCTTGACTGTTAATTCATTTGTCTTTCATTCCAGATTCTTTATTTTGTTTCTTTTCATAGAGAAGATTTCTGTCTATTCAAGAGCCATGATTTCATGGGAAAGAGGGTAAGGAGGAGACCCTGTGGATCATAGATTTTTACCTCTAAACTGGCTGAATGTGTATTTTTGAGTGTGAGTTTTTAAGTCTTTGATTTTTTTTAAGTCCTGATTTTAATAATCTAAAGTTCATAGAATTGAGAACTAGAGGGGATCTTAAAGACCATCTAATCCAATCACTCATTTTACATAGGAGAAAACATTCCCAGACTGGTTAAGTGATTCCCTGGTGTCCCACAGGCAATAAACAGCCTTGATTCCAAATCCAGTGCTCTTTCCAGTGTACTATTACTGAGTATTGCTTTGTGTGGCTGTATCTACATGCTATTATGACCCACATAATGATAGTTTTTTGTTTGCTTGTTTCAGGTTTTAAGAAAAAAATCTGATGATAAGGATTTTTTTACTCTGCTTTCTAAAGAAGTAAAATTGCATGGAAGGGTATCAGAAGAACTCCTAAGAGATGTTAACCAGGTCAGGGAGTTAGGAGAAGCCTATGAACTTAGCTATTTAGAGAGAAAGAAAAGAAATACCAAAGGAGAGAAATGTCTTCAGTCTGCTTCCCTGAAGAGAGATTCCCAGCATGTCATAGTGTTCTACAGGAAAACAGTTAGACAGGAGAAAGGCAAAAAATATAATGAACTTGGAAAAACCTTTGGTTACAGCTCAAACTTGTTATACATCAGAGACATCCTACAAAAGAAAGAGTCCATAAAGGTAATACTCATGGCCAAAGTTTGCCCAAAGTTCTGTCCCCATGCACTATAAGAAAATTCATAGTAGAGAGAAATATTTTAAATGTGGTGAATGTGGGAGAGCCTTCACTTATATGGCAGCTTTTATACAACATCAGAGTGTTCACATTGGAGAGAAACCTTATAAGTGTAATGAATGTAGTAAGGCCTTTAGTCTACATTCAGTCCTTATTTGACACCAGAGAACTCATACTGGAGAGAAACCATTTGAATGTAGTGAATGTGGGAAAGCTTTCAATAGAAGTTCAGTCCTTCATGAACATCGAAGAATTCACTCTGGAGAGAAACCCTATGAATGCAATGAGTGTGGTAAAGCATTAAGTTGAAGCTCTACCCTTATTCAACATCGGAGAATTTACACTGGAGAAAAACCTTAAAACTGTAAAGAATGTGAGAAAGCTTTTAGTACCCGGTCAGGTCTTCATGAACATCAGAGAATTCACAGTAGGGAAAAGCCATATGAATGTAATGAATGTGGGAAGTCTTTTAGTTGAACCTCAGATATCATAGCACATCAAAGAATTCATACCGGAGAAAAACCATATGAATGTAAAAAATGTGGAAAAACCTTTAGTAGAAGCTCAGGTGTTAGAAAACATCAGAAAATTCATGAAGGAGAGAAACTCTATGAATATGATAAATGTGGTAAAACTTCCACACATCTCACAGATTTTATTCAACATCAGAGAATTCATAGTAGAGAAAAACTTTATGAATGTCATGAATGTGATAAGGCCTTCAATTATGCCTCAACTGTTACTCGACATCAGAAAATTCATACTGGGGAAAAAACCTACAAATGTAATGAATGTGGAAAATCCTTCACCCATTTTACAGGTTTTATATACCATCAGAGAATACATGCTGGTGAGAAACCCTATAAATGTAATGAATGTGGGAAAGCCTTCAATAGGAACTCACTTCTTACTGAACACTGCAGGATTCATACTGGTGAGAAACCTTTTAAATGTAATAAATGTGGGAACGCCTTCAGTTACGTCAAAGGTTATAGTCACCATCAGATAATTCATAGTGGAGAGAAACCTTTTGAGTGTAGTGAATGTGGAAAAGCCTTTAGTCGCCATTCACTCCTTATTCAACATCTGAGAGTCCATACTAGAGAGAAACCATTTGAATGTAAGGAATGTAGTAAAGCCTTCAGTAGAAGGTCAGTCCTTCATGAACATCAAAGAATTCATACTGGGGAGAAGCCATATGAATGTAATGAATGTGGGCAAGCCTTTGGTTGGAGCTCTACCCTTATCCAACACCAGAGAATTCACACTGGAGAGAAACCTTACGCATGTAATGAATGTGGGAAAGCTTTCAATACCAGATCAGGCCTTAGTGAACATCAGAGAATTCATACTATAGAGAAGTCAAGTGAATGTGATGAGTGTGGGAAAACCTTTGATAGGAGATCAAAACTTACTCAACACCAGAGAATTCATGCTGGAGACGAATCATGTGAATGTAACATTTGTGGGAGAGCCTTTGCTTGGCATTCACTTCTCATTCAACACCAGTATAATTGCACTCAAGTTAATTTGGAAATGTGATGGAAATGTAAAGGAGAACTTTATTGACTGGAGTTCATAATAGGTTAAAATCCCATAATAGAATGTAAACTTTTTAATGGCAGTTGCTAATTTTTATTCTAATTTAGTTGGCACAGCAATCTAGCCCAGTGCCAAATGCAGAATGATAATAAAATATGTTGTTGGTGGTGGAATTATTACACTGATAATTATATAGAAACCTTCAGTAATAACTCCCCCTTCAGTCACAATGAGAGAATCCCAATCCAGTAATACCTAGGATGATAACAAAAAAGAATGTTAAATTTCTACTCTGATCTTACTCTCTGCCCAAAAGTGGTATGAATTGGATAGAACAGCCTAATCTCTCTCCCAGAAGTACCATTTATCCCCTGTGAGTTTGGTGGTACCATTGCCAGGCATTGGGAAGTTTGGCATCAGCAACTGTGTATAAGGAGCATGGCAACATCAGAAATGTTATATGTTAAATTTCTGAATGGTGATATATATATATAGATATATATATATATTTTAGCTAGGCAGTGGGGTTAAGTGACTTACCCAGGGTCACACAGCTAGTAAGTGTTATATGTCTGAGGCCGGATTTGAACTCAGGTTCTCCTGAATCCAGAGCCAGTGCTCCATCCACTGCGCCACCTAGCTGCCCCAGTGATATTCTTTAGGCTATTGAAAGTTTGATTTGGAGAGACTGGAAGATCTCAAGGGTCCTCAGAGGTCATCAAGTTCAACTGGTAAACAAACAGTAGCTCCCTTTACACGATAATGGTAGCTAACAGAACCTTAAAGGCTGGCAGCTGTCTTTCCATACATCATCTTATTCAATCCTCACAGTACAATAGCTCTTGGGGGAGGTATTACAGATATCCCCATTTTACAGATGAGGAAGCACTCTGAGCGAAGTGAAATGACTTGCGCATGGTCATACAGCTAACTCCCAGGTCCAGCATTCTAGCCATTCTGCCTTGCTGTTGCTGTTGTTTTGCCTTCTTGAAAAGCCTCCATTTGAAGACCTTGTGTGATGGAAAAGCCACTATTTACTGAGGCAACCCATTCTACTTCTGAACAAGACAATCTAATTAATGATATGTGTTTTCCTTATATGTCACAGAAATCTGTTTTTGTAACTTCCCACTGCTCCTATTTTTGCTTTCTAGGGCCAAGTGGAAGAAGTCTGATGCTTCTTCCACAGCATAACCCTTCATCTACTTGAAGACAGCTATCATGTTCTTCTCTCTTCTGAGTGTTCTTTTCCAGGCTAAACATTCCCAGTTAACTGATCTTTCTCTGGAAAGATCTTCAGGCAGTCCTCACCATTCTGGTCTTCAGCACCCCTGGCAGCAACAGAGGGGGGCAGCCGGGAAGGGCAAGCTGTCATTGAGAAGGAAGGCATCTCTGTGTCTACTTTTGAGGTATTTTGTTACGTTGTTGAAGTATTGGGAAACTATTATTGTTTATTGTATTTCCTGGGGATAAAATTGGTATTTCTTTCTCTTTGTTGGGGGAGGGGGCAGGTGACTTACAAATTAGAACCTGATTTCACATGCTTGTTTTTTCTGGCCTAATTTACCAGAGTCGATTGAAAAAATGCCCATTGATGTGGCGACTTGAATATTAGCACCTTATTGATCAGTTGTGCTTCTGGGTCCCTATTGTGACCACTCAGTGGCTGTCACTTCCCTTGAAAGATCAGGGCCAGCCTGCTTGCCTGCCACGTTTTAGAAATAAAGCTTGGGTATGGGTATGGGTAAGAGAAATTAATCTTGGTATGGGACAAGAGCCATTTTTGGTTGGAGTCAGAATGGAGCCAGAGAGCTGGTATTGTATCTAATAGCTAGAAGAGATTATGGATATCCTTATTTTATAGATGAAATGAAGCCAGAAAAGTATGGTGAGTTGCTCTGTAATGTGGCAGCTAGGATTTAAACCCAGGTCTTCTGACTCTAAATCTCTGCTTTTTCTATTACATCATGTTGTTGGAGCCTTGAGAATCATGAGAGGCCAAGACTTTGGCTTAGGGATGTTTTCTGGATGAGATAAATTGTAAATTTGGTGGCCACCCAGGATAAGCATTTGTACACACTTCTGATTATGTTCTGATCATCAGAATATAAACCTTGCAAATAAACCTCAGAAAATGATTCATCAAGCCATGGTAACATGTTGACAGAGAGGTAACCTAGGAAGAAAGTAGGTGTTCTGGTGCCAGTGAGCACAGGGAAGGTGACAGCAGAGAAAAAAAGACACATACATGGAGATTAGGGTGGGGTAGGTCTGTGAACCTAGAGATTGTTACTGTTTTAGTGACCAATAAGATCAGAGATTGTATATCTAGGTTATCAGGGTTTAGATTATAATTTCAAACAGTAGTTCTCAAAGGGTGTGCCAGGAAACTCATTTCCACGTTTCCGAGCTTCAGTTTGCTGCCTGTTCTTCCCAGCTGAAATGCTCTACTTCCACTTATATGTCACAGAAATCTGTTTTTGCAACTTCCTACTGCTCCTATTTTTGCTTTCTAGGGCCAAGTGGAAGAAGTCTGATGCTTCTTCCACAGCATAACCCTTCATCTACTTGAAGACAGCTATCATGTTCTTCTCTCTTCTGAGTGTTCTTTTCCGGGGTAAACATTCCCAGATAACTGATCTTTCTCTGGAAAGATCTTCAGGCAGTCCTCACCATTCTGGTCTCCAGCACCCCTGGCAGCAACAGAGGGGGGCAGCCGGGAAGGGCAAGCTGTCATTGAGAAGGAAGGCATCTCTGTGTCTACTTTTGAGGTGTTTTGTTACGTTGTTGAAGTATTGGGAAACTATTATTGTTTATTGTATTTCCTGGGGATAAAATTGGTATTTCTTTCTCTTGGTTGGGGGAGGGGGCCCTTTGTGAGAGAGCCCTTTAAGTGCTGGGGAAGTAAAGAGGGAACAGGGGAACAGAAAAAGAGGAAGAAAAATACTAGGTTCCAGATGATGGATTTGGAAGTCTAACTTATGTTAAATGTTCATTATAAGACAATCCTTCACAGCAATTAATATTGCGCCATGAGCAAAAAATAATCAAAACCCACTGGTGTAGAGGAATCTGTAAGCCAATGTCCAGTGTTTCCTGAGAATGATCGACAAGGGATTCAATTCTCTATGGACCTGAGGTCTTCAATGCACCAAGGCTTAGAGCAATTTCTTGTAGTCACACAGGTCAGTCAGGCAGCAGTCAAGAAGAAGTTAGTAGTAAGAAGTCTCAGAGATATGACCTTTTGTGAAGGAGAAAGGACCAGAAGATCAGGGCTAAGATTTAGAGGGTGCCATGAGTTATAATAGTAACAGAGTAGACTGTCACAGAGATAGACAAGTTATAGAATGTTAGAGGTAGAAGAAGCTTTAAGGGACCATCTAGCTAATGTCTAATACCAGGTTACTCAGATTATAAGTAGCAGAACTAGAACCTAGGTCTTTGGATTCTTTCCATTACATGATACCTTTACAATTCAGGTTAACTATACTTAGAAGGAAACGCTAGGCTCTGTGTGGCTCTGATCCTATTCTACACCTTTGACTTCCTTGTTCCCTTGTTCTTGTACTATTCATAGCTTTTCAATATAAGAAGAATGGAAGGAGATATCTTGAACAACTATAACTAGTTGTTAAGAGAAGAACTCTTAAGGCAAAGAAGTGGTCACGGAACATAAGATGGACAATTTTTATTTCCTAAGTTTGGAAAATTTTGCACGAACAAAACTAATGCAGGATATGGGTATGCAGGGCCAAGTGGAAGAAGGATAGGCAGGAATTAGATAGATATGTGTAGATATGGAATAAATAGAATTAGAAGAGAAACAATCAATTGGGAAAAAAATCTTTGCATCCCTTTATCCCTGATAAAGGTCTAATATACAAGCCATATAGGGAATTGATACAAATATATAAGGACAAGAGTCATTCTCTAATAGATAAATGGCCAAAGGATATAGATTTTTTTTTTCCAAAAGGACCACCTCTTTCTTCTACACTACAGGTGTAAAAATATGGGGATAGGTAAAGATATTCAAGGGTTTTGAGATATGGTATAGAGAAGAAGCAGCTCACTGAAGATGGTTTCTATTTTCTAAGCAGGAGTCAAAGATTGCATTGAGAGATGCAGTATCCAGGAATAAGGAGGCTATGATAGTCCCACTGTGGTACTCTGCCCTGGTCTGATCATATCTGAAATATTGTATTCAATTCCTGGGGCCACATTTTAGGAAGGATATTGATAGTGAGAGAGTGTTCAAAGGAGGGCAACCAGGATGATGAAGGGCTTTCAGTTAATGCCATATGAGGATCATGTGAAGGAACTTGAAATGTTCAGCCTGGAGAAAAGAATAATTATAAGATAGGTTTGTATGGTGCTATAAATCACTTTATAAGTTCATTTGAACCTCCCAACAACCCATGAAGTAGGCGCTTCACATATTTTCCCCATTTGATGGAGGGTTTATGTAACTTGCCCATGCGAAGGTTTAGAGAGGACATGAAGCTGTTTCAAAGTATGTAAAAATCTGTAACCTGAAAAAAAATGGAATAAGTAGAAGTGTCCAAAACTGGAATTTTGGATCAAACAATAGACCAGATGGCTTCAGAGCTCCCTTCCAATTCTTGAGATTTTTATTGTCTATAAATACTCATCCCTCTCTCTCCTTCCTTTCTCTTCTTCCATTCTTCCCTTCTTCCTCGTGCCATGAGGATCAGTTGAAGGAACTTGGGATGTTTAGTCTGGAGGAGAAAATAATAATGAGATAGTCATATAATGTTCTATATTTATATTTGAGCCTCACAACAACCCATAAAGTAGACACTGTAGGTATTACTATCATTTTACAGATGAAGATATTAAGGCTCAGAATGTTTATGTATAGGTGGGCTTGGGTAGTCCCTTGAAGTACAGTTTTATGATGCTGTGTAGGGAGATATGACTCCTAATTGGCTGAAGAAGTGGGGAGAGACAGAGACAGCACTAAGAAAAGTTGAGGAGACAGGACAAATCACAGACTTTGAATAGCTAATGGGAGTTCCTAGAGCCACAGGCATGTGGGGAAATCCAATACTTC